GCCAGAGCCTTCCCAGCCCACAGCAAAGTCCAGGCTGTCTCAGATGAACACCAGCAGGGACAGCAGGTAGTGGTTAGAAGTCAAATCACCCCTGCAGCAACGAGCTTGACTTGTGTCTTGCAGCAACACCTTCGTGGTGCCAACACGAGCCCTGGAGCACCCATCTCCCCTCCAGTAGTCCACTTATTCCATCCAGCAACACTTACCAAAGGACTGCGATCCAGTTTCTCAGAAACAGGAATCCATGCAGGTCACCACCACATCTAACAGCAAAACACACTCAAAAAGCCACTGGCTCCTTCAGACCGGCTTTCTTCAGTTCAGACTCCCGGTAAGAGCCCCACACAGCCACACAGGGAAGGGGACAAAAGGGCACTGCTGGTAGAGGCAACTTGGCAGAGCACCCCTCGTGCTCCCTGCAGCCACGTGATGATGACCCTCATGTCCCTGACTCAGCACAGGCACTGCATTAGTGAGCACAGAGGAAGCACAGCTGTCACGATTTCCAGTGGTGGAAGCTCTGCGTGGCCGGGAATGTCAGCATTACCACCACATCTGCCAGACCCCTCCTTCTGATCAGGAAGGACCACCTTGAATTCCACAGGTGCAGGTGGGTGTGCGTGAGCAGACCTCCCTTCCCACCACACACCTTGTCTGCCCCAGTGATGGCCCCTTCTCTTGTGCTGACCATGGCACAACACAGAGCAGCCTTGAGAAGAAGCCTTAAAACTGGGCTTTGTAAGTGAGAAACCAGTTATTTCCACTGGCATCATGGCACAACCCCAAAGACAACTTCAGGACAGAGGGGAGACACATGACAGAGATAAGCAACCACACCAGATGGAAAACTCCATCTCTTTGTACAGCACCAACCTGCAGCCCAAGCCTTAGAAACAGAAAAGCAGGAAGATTATAAATAGAAATTAAACAACTAAAACACCTGGGAGGAAAAAAGAAAGCCACTCTCACAGGTCTCTATTCCCAGGGCACCAGCAAAGCTTGTGGAGAGCTGGCACAGAAGGCAGCACCAAAAGGAAGCTGCAGTGGAGGAGAAGGAAGAGACTCACAAACAGGAATGCAGTCTTGTGACCAGCAAAGGTTTCTTCTTTCACCCACTAATGACACAAGACAGGCGGGTCACTGACTTGTGTCAGGAAGAGGAGCCCCACGGACACAAGGCCAGGAGTGGAAGGAGCAGGGCTGTGGTGCAGGTGGCACTTCTGCCCAGACTCCTGTGCCTGGTCTCCTCTGAAACCCACTGCAGCGAAGACTTTCTGCATGTTTGTGTGTGGTATTAGGCCAGGAGACCCTGGGGGCAAAACCAGATCTTCTCCCTCTCCTGAGTACAAATGCAACCAATTAGACCAAGAAATTCTGTTTACATCAGCCTGTGCCAGTCTCAAATTAGCTCTTTTCCCCTTCCTTTTTAGTAAAAGAAGACCTGGCAAGGAAAGTGGTCCTTTCCAAAACAAAAGCAGTACATGGAAGCAGGCACCCAGATCCAGGTTATTTAACATTGGCTTCACCAGCCCTTGGATCAGCCTTTTCTCCAGAGCTCTGCCATGTGGAGATCACATTTCCCATCAATACCAGGATGTATCTGGCCAGACAAATGGCTGTGCTTTTCTGGTCTGCACAGGTTCCCTGTTTTGAGTGGGATCACCACACAGGTGAGTTCCTGGGCTCCTGGGGAAGGAAGGCACAGTGGGAAACCTCACAGTTTCCTTGCCCCAAGACCCTCCGTTGGACCACGGGTTTACCGTGGAACAGGGCAGGATGACAAGCATGAGCCAGGGTTTGGATTTCACTAGGCATGAAGGTTCCCTACACCTAGTGCTTCCCTATCACTTTCTTCCCACATATTTAAAAAAAACCAACAATTCCAGCACATCCCACAACTTCCCATTAACCAGCAGCAGCTCAGCAAGGAAGGGTGAAAAGCAGAGCCTCACACAAAACCAGGAAAGTGCCTCTGTGCACTACCACCAGCTCAGAATTCCCAATCTAAACTGAGGCGTTGGCTGCAGCAGCACCTAAAGCAGGGAAAGGAACACAAAAGCTGTTGGGTTTTCTTGTGAAGCAAAAGTTATTCTCACTGTGCAAGGTCTCTTCTACCCAGACCCTGACACGCCGGCTCAGATATTGGCAAAACTTCTATTTTAGGCACAAAACAGATGTGGAATGCACATCAGTCAGTCTGGATCTTGAAATACTGCATATTTGAGCTTTCACTGTCATACTTCCATGTTTTCTGGCCCACGGGTCTTATTCAAGGACAGCAGAGCAGCTGCAAAAGCAAGGAAGAGAACAAGAGGAACAGCTTTACTGAGGCAGAAAGCAACTCTATACTGTGGGTGTACTGAGGTGGGGCTCAGTAAGACCAGTGCACTGAACCAAAGGATTTAGAGGCATTATTCAATACAAAACTTAATTCAAACTTGCCAAGCTGCCTTAAAAGAAAGCAACCCAGAATTACTAAATTTGCACACTTCCTTTCACCAGATAAAAGCCTCTCGACCTCTAGACAAGGGCATGAGGCATCTCACCAGCTTAGGCACCTGAACACCTTCCTTCACACAGATTAACATGAGCCAGCATATAAAAAAAGAGTTCAGGGTTACAGGGTAAACAAAACCTGAGAATGGCAGGTAAACTGACCCCCTTGTGAACCAACACTGTTCCCCAGTTTCCCCTCCCAAGGAGGGACAAATCCAGAGCACCACACCTCAGCCATTGTTTGAAAGAGGAACAGGGGTCTCACCACCACCAATATGCAGGAGCTGGGACAAGTCTGCAGGAGTTTTAAACCACCCTCTTGCCAGGCTAGGCTGCAAAACCTCAGGAGCAGCCCATTCAGGCATGGATTTTGCATGGTTCAGGTCCTGGTGAAGATGTTTTTTTAAGATCAAGACGAAAAATGGTATTTTTTTCAGCAGCCTCTTCTCCAAGTGCTGTGCCCTGTGCTGCCACAGCCATGGCTGGAATTTCAGCTCCTCCCAACAGGCCATTTGCTCACCCTGTGCCTGAGTTTGTTGAGGGTTGGTGTGACTTTGCCTGCAATCTCTACAGGGAGGGAAGTGCTACAGATGGAGTCAGTAACCAGAGACTTTGACCTCTTCCACCAGGAAGAGTGAGGACAGCAAAAGCCTCCAATGCTGTTCTCCTTTAGGAGGTTTCCTTTGAAACCAACAGCTGAAGGAGCATCACAGGCACATTGTTAAAAAGATCTTGCAAAGTTTCAGGGACTGTGAAGACCTTCGATCAGAACAGTATGTTTTGGGGATTTATTTATTTAAAGAAAACCAAGCCCTCTTTGTGTGGAGCTGGGACATGTTGTATTTATAAGGCAGCTTTCCTCTGAGGATGTGAGAGCTTTTCAGACATTACAAGCCTGTCTCCTATGTTGCTGTATGGGATGGAAGTGTGTCTGCATGATCCTTACATCCCATGGTAACTCTGGAGGAGAACTGTCCTCCTGCTCTGCCTGCCCTGTCAAAGGGTGTGCAGTCACCCTAGGACCCCTCCCTGCCTGCCATGGGTACAGCAATCTAATCTGGATTTCACTTTTTTGAACATTTGTGAAATACAGGCAACTTCCCAGCCCAGCCCCTGCAATCAACCACAATCACAGGCACCAGAACATCAATTCCATACCCAAAACGGATGCCCTCGTGCCAAAAAGGGACACAGGCCACAGGACATCAGACAACCCAGGGAATAAGAGAGGTCACAGGCTGAAAGGCTGATCCCAAGCTGCAAAAACCACAGCTCTCCAAATCCCCAGCCCAATCAACATAAACAGAAGACACTCGACACAGGATTTTCCTTTCCTTTTGTAACACAAGCTGCTCCTCTTACCTCCCGAAATTATGCACAGAGCCCTGTTACACAACCAGGGCTTGCACAATCCTCGCAGGCATTTTATCAGCTTGCTCCTCCAAAGCTTGGAGTTAGCTGGAACCCAGAGATGCAGCAATGACCCGTGAAAGGGGTGAAAGCCAGTCAATTGATGCGTTTCACAAGCAACCACGCAGCAAGACCCAGTGTACTTGCCAGCACCGCCAAGTCGGACCCACCAACTCCCTGAGCCGGTTGCTAAACCTTCCCTGCACACTTCCCATGCACTGCCAGAGCCAGATGTCCCCAAGGAGAAAAACCCCACCCCATCTTTAACTCCAACCCTCGCCCGTCTACTCCTCCACACAGCAAGAAAGGAAGGTAAATTAGTCAGTAACTCTACAGACGTGGCTGATAACTAAGCAGAAACAAACATACAATAATCTGCTGCCACAGGTCAAACTCAGCCACTCTTTGGACTTGTGGCCCTACAGAAGCCACCAGAGATGGCTTCTGGTCTTTCTGGATTACGTGAGCGATCAGCAGCACACAATCAGCTTGAATGTCTGCTTGGGGATAAGCAGCAAGAGATTACGAGCAGCCTGTAATTATTTGTTCTGATCTATGAAATCTCAAAGCCTATAAAAAAGGAATCTTGGCAGAGGTGCACCTGTCACTGCAGGGCTGGTGACTCACTCTCCACAATACCGTGGACAAAGTAGTCTCATTACTGGGATCAAATGATCACATTGGGAAAGCACCTTATGCAAGTTCTACGAATTGTGTTTTTAGAGGCGGGAGAGTTCACATCAGGAAACAAAACAAAGTTCAGTGTCCACAGAGATAACTGTGGGTGGTTTTCTTTTATACCAGAGGAAAGGGATGGGGAGGAGATGGCAGGAGTGAAGACCTGAGCAGGGAAGCCTTTTCCCTAGTCTGCCAGAACTGAGCAAACACACAATCTTTGCTGCATCACAACAGGCAAAGGAGAGAGCAAAGATCAAATGGGATTTCAGTCAGACACAGTTCCACATGTTGCTTTTGCTGAGGGTGAAGTGGGTAAAGAAACCATCACTCCCAGCACACACTGCCAGCCACCCTACCAAACCCAACTGCACCCACAGACACTCCACGACCTTTGACAGTCAAAAGAAAGGGGTTACCTTGCACTTATGTATCTGCAAGCAAGCGCTGATGGGGCCTGTGAGCTCCAGCACGAAGGGTGGAGAGCAGCAGGGAAAGCCTCCCTCGAGACAAGACAAGTTCTGGTCCTATGGCCCCGTCGAGCTGCTCTAGCTGCTCTGGAAGAAACAAACTAAAAGTTGCAGAAGGCACTTACTTGCTCAACCCTGGCTGCCCACAAGGCACCACCCCAGAGATTGTTGACTGAACATGAGGCACCTGCACAGTGATGACAAGCAAGAGATTTTTCTCTGTCACAAACTGAGAAGGACTAATTAACAGAGGGTTAAGTATGACGCTACCCTCTCCATCCTGCCCACTCTTCACCTCACTCTCCAAAGCTTTCACACCTGAAAATTAAAAGAAAGCACTCAGTTGTGTCAGTTGGTGTTTCTTCCTGTAGCACCTGTATCCTCCCTGCTTTACAGAAACCTGTTTTGCAAATGAGTTCTCATGCACCGTCACATCCACATACAACACTCAGACACACTCTGTGCCGTGCACACCCTGGTTCAGTGCAGTCAACCAGCACATGATGCACCTGAAGAAAAACCTGTGCTGGGACAATGCTGGGCTCTCCAGGAAGGGTCTGGCTCATGAGCCCTTCCCAGACAAAACACTGATTTCCTCATCTGCAGCACGTTAATCACCGAGGTACTTTGCATGTGTGCAACAGCTCATCGGGATTTCTCAGAGAATCAGAGAAATACTGGAAGAAAGCCCCAGGCAAAAGGGATGTGTGCATCCCTGCACCCCAGTCAGCACAGCTCTGCTGCCTAACAAAACACATGAAAGCCCACAGCTCCTCTCGACAGCCCACACAGAGTGTAGAGCTCTGTGTAAGAGGGGATGTCCCCACCAACGCTATCACTGAGGCACTTCCAGATTTCAGAAACAGAGACCTGACCCTTCCTTGTGCTTTTCCAGCTTCTCAACTGGATGTATGATTCTGCTTTTTAAAAAGAACTGTAGAGGTACAACCCCAAATTTCACTTTTTCCAGACTCACATCAGAAAGCCTCAGTGATCCCTCTTCTCCGTACACATCCCACTAAGCATTCCTATTTCTTTTACACTCTGAAAGGTAACCCAAGGTCTAAACACTGACAGAACAACGCACACTCCACCAGCAGTGCTTACTCCTGCAAGTAAGACAACTTCCTAAGAACCAATTCCACACTGATGACTAACTCCCAACACCGTCATCCAGGTGTCTTCACCCCCTCCAGCCTTAATATTCCCAAACAGGGGGTTTTCCATTATTTCCTTTGACAAGCACATTCCCTAAGTGAGTAACTTCACTCTCCCAAGCAACTTCATCAGGAAAAAACAGGGGCAAAGAGTCTTTCCACACCCCAGCAGCTTATAAAGTTAAATAGGTGGAACAACAGCTAAGCAGCCCAGCCTGCAGCAAAGGTGTCAGTTAAATGCTGGGAATAACGTTCTGCAGGGAAGTGCCAGAAAATTAAGCTCATTAAAGGCTTTTAACCAGCAACAGCCCGAGATTGGGTAAGTCTGAGCAACCCTTCAGTGCTGTGGAAGCGAGACAGGGCAGGCATCACCCCCCTCCCTGGCTGCCCACCCTGCCTCACACCCCCTTCTCAGCCCCACCACGGGGTGCCGGTCAGCCCCCTGCCCCACAGGCCCCAGGGAGCCAGGTATGATTGGGGTACCCCAAATTACAGGGGGCCACTCATGCCAGCCCCCCCGTACAGGGGACCCTGGTCACACCAGTCCCCCCAGTAACAGAGCACTCAGTCAAATAACAGAGGCCTCTGGTCATCCTAGTCCCCTTCAAACAGGGGATCCAGTCACACCAGACCCCCCCAAACAAAAGAGAGCTTTAGTCATCCCCATCCCTGCCCAATAACAGGGGACCAGTCACATCAGATGCCCCAAATAACAGGGAAGTCTGGTCATCCCAGTCCCCCCAACACCCTGAATAAGAGAGACCTCTGGACATCCAAATACCCCCCCAAAGGCAGGGATCCAGTCACACCAGACTCCAGATACCAGGATGACCAGAGGGTCATCCCAGTCCCCCCAAATAAAAAAGGGTCCATTCACATCGAACTCCCCCCAAATCACAGCGGGACCACTCACAACAGCCTCGCCATACGCGGGACCTCAGTCATCCCACTCCTCCCAGTCACATGGAGCCAGCCACATCAGTTCACCCAGTATAAGAGGGGTACCCCCGTCCCGTCCCGTCCTATCCCACCCATCAGCGGATGCCCACCCGCCCCTCCCCACCAGAGAAGACACCAGCGGCGGAGCCCAGCCCTCCCTCAGGCATAGGGGACGCCCGAGCCCACCCCTCCTCATCCACACGATCCCGGTACCCCGCCGGTCCCCGGTGTCGCCCCGGAACCCCGCACCCACCGCCGGCCCGGCCCGCTCTGTGCCCGGCGGCTCCCGCAGCCCCGGTGCGGCCGGCACGTACCGCGGACCGCACCACTCGGCCTTACGCGCGGGGGGAACACGCTCCGCCCCTGCCGCCCGCCAATAGGCTGCGAGCGCGCCTACCGGAGGAGATCCCCCCTCTGCGGAGGCGCATTGGTACGGCCCCAGGACTGCAGGGTCTTAAAGGGGCAGGAGCGCTGGGGCGGGGCAGGAGCAAAAGGGGGGTCGGGGATGTTTGGGGGTCCCAGTGGGTGTAAGGAGGGGTCAGGGTTGGGGCAAGGTAAGGAGACAGCAGTGGAGCCAACGTTGTATTTGGGGGGTGAGGGTGGGGGCCAGAACTGGCGTTAGAGTTCAGATCTGGTTTGCAGTCGAGGTGGGTTTAAGGTCAGGGCTGGGGTCATGGTGTAGTCGTGTTTGGGGTCACGGTTGCGTCATGGGCTGGGGTCGGTTTTGGACACAGGCTGTGCCTGAGCCAGGACCCCCACACCCAAGAACCCTCTCTGTGGCCACGTGCGGTGCCTGTGTGCACATGGTGGTGCTGCTGTGGGACCCCCCAGAACCTCCCAAGGCCCCTGCCCTGGTGCAGAGCCCGAGGGGGGTCAAGGGACCCCAGGGTAGAGGCTGGAACCTGATCACTGCCTCCCCTCCCTGGGACCCGGGGGGCTCCCCGCCCAGTCAGTTTACAGCCAGCACAAGCACATGCTCCTGATTTAACCGCAGACCACATGTTTTGGATGTTTTGGGGCGGCCTTTCTCTCAGCACTCATGCTGCCACCACCAGGGAACTGCACAAGCAGCTCCGGAAACATCCCCAGCAGTCCCAGCGGGACATTTTGCAACTCAAACCCCCAAACCCCGGGTCCTACAGACACGGCGGGACCGCTGCTCTCCTCTCTCCTTTTTTTGGGAAGCTGGGTCACAGCTCTGCTAAGTCCAGCCTGGCCAAAGCCAGGCACACGGCTCGCCCTGACCCCACCGAGCAGCCCCAGGCCACGTGGGGTCACACGGGACTGTGTCCCCTCCCTCAGCCAGGCACTGGCACATCCAGAGTCACCATTCTGACACTGTCACTGTGTTGGCGCTCGCTGCAGAATCAATAAAAGGTGCAAAGTCCAAGCTGGGGCTGGCAGGCACGTGGGGAGCCACGAGGGGTGTGAGGAGGGGGCACGGACCCAAAAAGCACCAGCTCTGAGGCAGCGGTGCCCAGGGCTGCAGGAACACCCCCTTTCATGATGGCATCCAAGCAGAGGGTAGAGGGGTGTAAAGATCACCTGGGCACCACTGCCACCTGCATCAGTTTTGGGATCAACCCCATGGAATTGCCCCGGAGTGGCTCTGGTCTGTGACTGTGCCCCGTGGGGTGAATGGCCGCGGGTTAAAGATCACAGTGGCACTGATGGGATGGCAGGACAGTGCAGGCCCTTGGTTTGGGGTCATCCTATCGGGTGCCTGGACTGGGAACAGGCATTATAGCACAGCCTGGCCTGCTCTGTGCCAGCAGGGAAGGGGCTGGGGTCTCATCACACCCAGCCCAAACTCCCCCTGGGGGAAAAAGCAGAGCTCTGCCAGCCCACAGGGACCTGTTGGGTCACTGCTTTGTCACCACACCCATTTCTCCCATCTCTCCAACTCTCCTCTGTTCCCAGCACAGGCTGGGGCTGAACTTTTGGCCACGGAACCCTCAACAGTGCCAGCAAACAGGCTGGGGCCCCATGGGACAGCCATGAAGGTGGTGTTTGGCAGAGTCCTGGCCCTGGCACGGGGAACCTGGCCCCCAGTCAGGATAACTGTGTGGGTGTGCTTTGCCACGAATAAATGAGGGATAGGAAAGCAGAGGAACACAGACTTGTTTTTCCTCCAGCATCAATGTGTCCTGCCAGGCCTCCCCACTCTGCAGGACCCCCCCCCTTGCTCCTAAATGGGGCAGCAATGCAGGTCTAAGTTGGTTCTGCTTTCCTCATGTACCCCCCATGCCTTTCCTCTTGCACCATAGTGGGTGCAGAAGAGCAGAGAGGATGGAGCTGGGCTCTTCCAGAGCATCCTTCCTGCACCAGGATGACTATCCCAAGCACAGGGAGCACCTGGCTCAGCTCCCAGCGCTTGTCCCCAGAGTTTTGTCACTCTACAGTGACCCTCTGAGGACAGGGGGTCAACCCAAGGGGTGTTCTGGACTCTCTGCACACCCTGATTCTGGGGCAGATGCAATCCTAGCACTGAATGAAGTGGCCTTTACTGGGAATGCACCAGGGGCACAGAGTAACAAAGCTCCAGGGACAGCACGTTCCCAGTGGCAGCCATCCCGGGCTGAACTGGGAGGTTATTGACTTTTTTCTTTTTTTTTTTTTTTTTTCCCATCCTCCTTTAGGAACTTCCATTCTCTGTCTCCCCACCAAGGAAATGAGCTGGTACTGCAACATGCAATGAGTAACTGCTGGGAGCTCAGTGAGGCAAATGCCAAAGCCCAGTGAGCTGATGACTTTCACCTCCCTCTCTCCCAAATTTAATTCCTCCTCGGAGCCTTAAACACATTTGGAAATGTCTCATCCCAACACTTTTCCTCCCTCCCAGCAACTTCCCTTCCCTGGGCAAGGAGTTCTGAGTTTGTCACCAGCCCTGGGGAACTGGGACTTGCTTGGACTCCACTGCTGGAGAAGCAGAAGGTCCTTGGCTCATTTATACAACAGCGTTTCACTGTGAAACAGCTGCCCTCAGGAAAGCAGGGAACAGACCTCACTAGAAAATAAATCTTCACAAACATCCATCTGAAGGGCACTGAAGGTACAACACATTGCACTGGACAAGTAGGTGCAGCTGGACTTGGAACAGCCCTGGGGACATGGTGAAAGATGCAGAGATCAGAGAGACCAAGTGATCTGCCAAGGTCACCCAGAAGCTCCTAAAAGACCTGGGAGCAGAAGGAAAAAAAAAAAACCCAAATTGTGGTTTTGTCCCTATGGCAGGTCCTGCGCACCTGGAAGGCTGTGGCAGTTGTCTTGTCCCAGCATGGAAAGGTTAGTGGCTGGTGCTTGCTCCTTCCCAGGCAGGGATGTCCCCCCACCGCCGGGGCCAAGGGGCCCAGCTCACCCCCTGGAAGGAGGTTTGGTGTCTGTTCCCCGGGATCGGGGCTGTTCCGGCTGCCGGCAGCGACACTGCGGTGACTCCTACAGGCCAGGGCTTCCTCCGCCACTGCGAAACCAGGAAACTACTCCCTGGAAACGTGCCATCCCTTTGACAGCTCTGCAGGGAGAGCGAATCTCTCATCAGATCAGCTGATAAGAGTTGGAAAGGAAAAATAACCGGCTTCCAGCGTTTTCCAGGGTGCAGTTCCACTTGTCCCCAGTGCGCGTCCAAAGCCCCAACCTGACACGGAGCTGGCACCCATCAGCCCATCCCACAGCCCATCCCACAGATCCCACCCCACAGATCCCGCCGTGCCCAGCCCACCACCCGGAGGGGCACGCTCCACATCCCCGTTTGAAAGCAAACCCGGAGACCATAACAATTTGTCTTTCAGATTCTATTTCCAGTTCCCAATTTGGAGGTATACAACATTCATGATTGCTATCAATGCTCATCACCCTCCTGGAAAAATCAGTGATAAAATTCCTAGGTTTACAGGCAAGGATTTCACAAGGAGGAAAAATCAAGGCACTAGCAGAGAGTGGAGTATCAACATTTCAATGTTATCTCTAGCATTTCTTTCCTGGTATTAAAAACATGCTTTTAAATTCCAAACAAGCTCCTTATCCCGCTCTTGCTCCACACTAAACACATAACAATGCAACTGCTGTCAGCAGGAAAAACAGGACCATGAAGTCAATTCCATTTGTGATCCCGTGGAGGAGTGAAAGGCCCTCAACTCCAGCCTCCTGGAGAAGTGGCTGTACAGCAACAAGGGGCTTCCTCAGACATTGATGATGGAAAAATCAAAGGGGCATGGACTTGCTTTGGAACATGCAGCTGCCAGAGCTGCCTCTGGTCAGGCTCACTGGGAGCACAGAGGAGCCCTGAGGCTGTTGTGTTTCTGGGGACGGGTGAGGCACTGCAGGAACATCTCCAGGAGCAGTAATGGCATTTTGTGCTTCATGCACCACTTTTTTTCTGGAACACAACAAAACTCTGAGCAGAGCCGAGGGCAATAGTTGAGATCCTGGCTGATTTACAGATACAGAGACAGCAGATTCCTCCTGGGCATGGCACAGGGCAGCAGCTACACAGCTGGGAATAACACTCAAATCTCAGCAACTCAAGCAAACTCCTTCGTTACAGCCACACGCACCAAACAGTGCATCCTGCTCCAAATCCTTTGCTGAAAACTCCCCTCTCCCACACACCTGCCCACCAGCTCCAAGAAAACAGAGAGAGATTGTGCTAATATTGGTCGGTGAGACTTCTAATGCTGAGCAGTGTGAACACCCCCAACAGCACTGCTGCATTCCTTGGATTTATAAACATTTGCTCCACAAATGGCCAAAATTCATTACTGAAGAGTTTCCCCACTACTTCCCATGCATGTGAGGTGGCCTTATCAACAAGTGCTGGTGACACAGGCTGAGCTAGTGCAGTGCTATCAGAAAATGAAGGCAACATGTTGATGCAGTCACAGACTGCAGCTAAGAAGGACCTTGAGCATTTTAGGGCTGTTTTGTGGTGGCAGAAAAGGGTGTTCTGTGTTCTATCCTCTTGCCCCAGCTTGGTTTAACAAGCCCTCTTCATGGCAGTCTTTTAGTGGGGAAGTCACCAGCAGAACAGACATCTGTTGAGTCCTCCTCCACTCAAATATTAAGTTATACACTAAGGCTTGCCCAATTCCCACCTCTTTTGGGTCCTAGCTACATCACACCTGTAAACAAGACAGGAGTGTAAATGGGACATGAGCTTTTTGCTGCAGCCTAGCTAAACTCCAGTGTTTTGACAGTGAGATTCCCCCCTTGACTCAGGGAGCTGGTGCACTGGAACTCCAGTGGCAGTGTGGAAAAAGCCAGCTGCTAAATGCAGCAATGAAAAAAGACTTCAAAAGGATGAGAAGTACACAGAGCTGATACAGTCCTCACCCCCAGCAATATCAAAAAGTAAAAAAACAATTATAAAGGAAATACAATCCAAGTAGCCTGTGCCAGGGAGCAGGGAAATGGCTTACATTGGAGCTACCAATGCATTCCAACAGTCACCCCAGACACAGCAAAGATGCCAGCAATGCACTGCTGTGGGAGCATCACAGAGTGGTCCTGCCCCTGCGTGAGTCCTGATGCTCCCTGGAGGATCAGTACACTTGGACTCTGGTAAATTCAGCTGCAACAGGAGGCACTGTGGGTGCTTGCTGAGCACCAGCCAGGGGGCCCAGTGCAGGGGGCTGTGGGTCAGTCGGGCACACGCGCTGAGGGGGACAGAACGTGCCCAGCTGGCAGCGCTGTCCTGGGGAGGCTCCCACGTGGGCCTGCCCACAACACTCTCCCCAGGCACCTCTGGCTTGGCAGTGGGAAGAACTGAGGCTGTGTCCTGCAGCATGGCCCTGCTGAGATCCCTCGTGTCCCGGCACACGGCCATGTCCTGGAGTGCAGCTGTGATGAAACCCCTGGCTCTGAGCATTGGGATGCTGCATCTGGGAAGCAGGAAGAGCTGGAGGCGAAGGGTAGTAGTAGCTTTGGGTGGGGTAAGTGCCTGGTGCAGGGTTAATCCTGGGCAGGAAGAAAACAGAAGGTTACACAGTGCTCAGAACTGGCATTGCCTAATTAGCGCTGGAAGTGCCCTGGGGGTTGATTTCCTCCTGACCAGCGCTCAGAGAGGTCACTGCAATCCATCAGAGGGATTCACTACAACAGAAGCTCTTATTATAAGCAGCACTTGAGTAAAAAATAGGTTTACTGGCTTCCCAGGACAGATGTTCCCACTCCCAACCCACGCCATTTCCACACCCACTGAACGAGCGTGGTTCTTGGCCCCAGACTCTTTGTGCAAGGAATGCACAAAAGCCAAACTTCAACGTGCTTTGAGACTCCAGGGCACATCCTCCCTGCCCTGTGAGGGACACATCTGCCAAGGCATTAATCAGGAGAAGTCACAGCTGCCAAGTGTTTATGAAGAAAACATAAAGGCCCTTGGTGCGAGTAAGAGCCCAGAGTATAAAGCAAAAAAAGAGAAGGAGGGGAGAGTTAGAAATTAAATTAATTATTCAGAGGCAAGGGCTAGAAAGTCTTTGCCAGCAGAAGGGATGACTCATCCAGCCAAAATAGGAGAGAGGCAATCTGCCTAGAAGCTGAAGCCTTTGGGACTTCAGGAGTGCTGCTCAGCCCACGCACAACACGCAGATGAGTGCTGAGAATCAAGTCAATATTCATGAATCCATGACTGCCAGATTCCCAGCAAGAACAAGAGACTGGCTCAGCCTGGGGTTTTCAGGCTTAGGTTTTTGGTTTTAAATTATTAATTTGATTTTGGGTTGGGTTTTTTTTAATTTTATTTGTGGATACAAACATGATGCCAAAGCCTGGACCTCCTAGAAATGTGTCCTGCCTGGTGGCAAGTTGGTGCCTGAATCTTATGAAAATTTAAAAAGAAAACGAATCCCAAGTTATTAAAAATCAAAATAATCAACATGAAGCTGCAGAAGCACATACAGAAGTTGTATCTAAGACACAGACATGCAAATTTAGCTGCAGCAGTGGAAGCATTCTAGAAACACCTTCCCACGCCCTGTTGGATAGTCAAATATTCATGTAAGTACCTTTGTGTCACAACAGTCTGTGTCACCTCACCAAAGGAAGCAGGTTTAGACCCTGAGGTGCTGTGCACAGCAGGATTGGACTGATGCTGGCACAGGCTTAGCATGGAGACAGTCCCACCTCCCAAAAGCTGCATTTGCACAGGAAGGAGAGACTAAAAACACAAATGCTGCTGGATCTGCCTGCCCTCCCTGCAAGCACTCTCATGTTTGAGTGCCCTGATGGACCTGAGGGACACTCCTGCTGCAGACAAGGGTTGGTTTTATGGCTTCCCAACGGGTGAGGGCAATGCAAACACCTGGGAATGCTTCCACTTTAAATAAAGCTTTACAATGAGCTGAAGGCTTAAACAATACATAGAATTTAACCCTTAACAGAAAACTGCCCTTTCTCTGCGAAGCTGAAATGGCACCTTAGAACAGGTAAATATTTGACCTACATTTTCAAGCTTTTTAGAATACAAGTGAGTTCTCATGGCTTGTGATAATACATAAACTTAAAACCACTCCTGAACGTCAGCCAAGGGCCCCAAGGTTTTTTTTTTCAGTAAAGTAACATTGCCTTGACACTGAAAACCTGCTGAAAGGCTAAAAAAGACCAAAAGGTCTACACTGAGCTTTGTAAGTGATACCTTTGATTTATAATGTTCTGCTCCTACATAGGTTTGGACACAACTCACTTCACAGCATTCCTGGGAGGCGAGGTGGGGCAAATAAAGATAGGGATCACACCCTAGGGAGCCACACAGCCAGGAATAAATGCCTTAAACCCTAATTCCAGGGCAGAGTTACACAACTTAACTTTCATGTCAGCCAGAGCTGCAATACCTTTGCATGTGTACACACACTGCCCTTGCAGCAAAGGAGAGGTCTTTCACCTCCATTCAGCTTTCACTAAAGACCTGGTTGAGTTAATGAGTGGTAATTTATTAGTCCCAGTAATGTCACCAGTGTAACATCAAAGGGTGACTCTGCCCCCTCCCACACCCACAATATGAACTCAACAAATGCAATCCGGCTTTTAAAGGTGATTTAGAGCCTCTACTCACACTTCAAAATTCCCCTGTAAGATCTCCCACAGGAACTCCTGTACTTACTTGGTGCTGTCAGAGGCTCTTCTCTCTGCTAAGGACCCTGGGATGTATTTCAGCCCTGGGATCCTCTTCAGCAGAGTGAAAGGGAACACCCGGTCCAGCTTAGAGCCCACTGACTCTGGAAAATCCAGGCAGAAACAGTAGCCAAGACCATCTGAAGCCAGGAGCGTGTTAAGGAGGTCTGCAGACAAAACACAGTCACTTCTAACACAGCCACACACAATCCTCCTCTGCCCACAAACCACTTTTCCTGGAGAATTCTCCCAGTTCCGCCCAGCACCACGTTCACAGACCATCGCCCTTCTCACTCCACATTCTCTGGGTGCACAAAAGTCACTGGGGAAGGGGAAGAATGAGGTGAAAAACCAACACGGGACGAGCAAAGCCAGGGAGGGTTTAATGCAGAGCAAGAGCCCAGGAAACACCGT